AGAGCCCTGCCTACTGCGTGCCACCCCAAGAAGGTAGCCCCCCCCCCCCCGCCCGCTTGGCCCCGAGCAGCCCTGCCCACTACTTCTTTATTCCTTCAGCAAACGTGTATCAAGTGCCCATTCAAGTGCAGATCAGTGTTCCTGGCTGGCGGATGTAGTAAAGAACAAGACAGGGTTGTGTCCTCACCAGCCTTCTCGTGTGGTGGGCGGTGACCAGACACGGGTAGGAGCGAGTGATGCATGCTTTGATGGACGACATACAAGTAGGGCCTCACAGTCCAGCCATGTCGGGGGTGATCAGGGTCAGGGAAGGTGTCTCCGTGTTCGTGATACTGGAGCTGCGTTTGCCAGACTCAGGAATCGGGAGCCAACAGAGTGCGAGTTAAGGTGGGAATGGTGTTTCAGGATGAGGGAACAATCCACATGAAGGTCCAAGGTGAGAGGGACATGACTGTGTGGCACCGAAAGGGTGCTGGCTTAGTTAGAGTGTGACATTAGTTCATAGTGGGAAGGGGTGGGGAGAAAAGTGTGTGTGTGGAACGAGTAGGGTCTACCCGAACAGGCCCTCCCCCTGCCTCGGTACCCTCACCCTCCTCCTCGCCCCATTGACGAGGGTTCCCAGAAGGTGCTAAAAGGAGTAAACGGGACGGACTGGGGTGGCCAGCCCGGCTTTGGCCAAGCTTTCCTGTCTCCCCTGCCAGGGCTGGCCACTGTGGCCCACGGAGAGTTTCCGGAGGCCAGCCTGGCTGCAGGTCCCATCCCTCCCCCTGAGGACGCCTCGACACCGTTCCCCATCCCGCGCACTTCCAGCCTAGCACGGGCCAAGCGGCCATCGGTCTCCTTTGCTGAAGGCACCAAGTTTGCGCCACAGAGTCGCCAGAGCTCAGGGGAGCTCTCCAGTCCTCTCCGAAAGCCCAAGAGGCTCTCGCGGGGGGGCCAGCTGAGTCCCGAAAGCCAGGAGGCTGAGGAGTCCGTGGACCCAGAGAAAGCGGAAACGGATGAGACCCTTCCTGGTGCTGCCAGCCCCAGGGATTCAGCTGCTGGCCGCCGGCGGCTCCCACCTGGCGGCCGGGTGGTGGCTGAGCGCGTGGAAGCCATTGAAGGCAGTGTCTCAGAAGGCTCAGGCTCTGTGACCACGATCTATATGCTGGCAGGGACACCCCAGGTATCTGAGGGCCCCGTCCGGTCTGTTCTCCGCCGTTTTGGTAGCTTCCAGAAAGGCCAGGCAGAGCCCAAGGTCAAGAGTGCCATCCCCAAGCCTCCGCGCCGGGCCCTAAGTCGAAATAAGGGCAGTTCCGGGCTGGCCTCTGGCACTGCCAGTCAGAGTCCCAACTTAGGCCGGAATGATGAGCTCACTAGAGCCTCGGAGTCTGCAGGAACCGGGCCAGAGGAGCTAGGCGATGGCACCAAGAGCTCAGGGAGGGCCCAGGGGCTGGCCCCTGAGGGGGGCCCCCAGGAACAGGATCCCCAGAAGCTGTCTGAGGAGGAGGGGCAGGAGGAGCCCCAGTATGAGAATGTTGCACCCATCTCTGGGCCACCAGCACCCTGAGAGCCTTGAATTTGGGGAGAGGGAAGACTGTGGATGGGGGGTAGGCGTTCGGACCGCCCCTGGCTCCAATTGTGTTTTGCTGGAAAAAGATGCCAGGGCCAGGAAGGACATACCAGAGCCTCTGCCCTTTCATGGAGGAGCGTCAGAGTTGGAGGCCAGTTGGCTCTGGGTCCTGGCAGTGCTCTGGGAGTGGACTGGGAGGCCTGGGCAGAGACCCTATTGGGTGGGGCCAGCAAGGGGAAAGAGGTGACTGCGGGGACTTTTTCTCTGTTGTCCTGGACTCTGTTTGCCCCAAAAGGCTATTCTTTTCTTCATTTGCAAAACATTTTTCTGAAATGGGAAACAACCTAAATGTTCGATGATAGAAGATTGGTTAAGGAAAGATTGCTTATGTTACATTCCTAAACAGCACGAGAAATCATGTCGTGTGAGAAGATTTCATATGCGAAATATGGGACACTGTTGATGTTTTACTGTTAAGTGTAAAAAGTCAGTTTTCCTTTTAGAAATCTCATTTCCTTTTCCTTCAGGATACGTGCTTTGAATCCTTCCATTTGGCGTATGTTTTATGATTGTTTGACAAACTTTTATTTTTAAAGGATGTACATGCATAAAAAAGATTTGGGAGCAAGGCATCAAGTGGCCTTTTTTATTTTCTGGGAGATGAGATTGTGGCTGATCTTTTCTTCCTTCATAAAATTCTGTATAATTTTTAAATTTCCTATAGTGAACATTCTTTTCACTTTTCTCCCTAGATTTAACTTTTTTTACAAAAAAATCATAAAAAGCAATGTTTTTTTGTTAAAAACAAAGTGCTAACATTACAGATATGTATAGAGTAGAAAGGAGATTTCCCCATTCCCCAGGGGAGTCTGAGGGACAGGGGAGGGGCCAGACTTGTCATCGAATGCCTTTTGGTTCTGAATTCTTTTCTTACATACTTGAATTACCAAGTCAGGACCAAAATACCAGTTTCCCCTTCGATCCTAGCGCTCAGAGAATCCTGCAGACAGCTTAGATTATGTTTTCCTGTGCACGTACCATTGTACAATTTGCTTTTTTACTGAAGTATACCCTGGATATCTTCTGATGTTAGTATTTATAAAGCTACCTCTTTTTATTAAAAAGTGGCTGCACGGGATTCCATTATGTGGAACTAACACAGGTTATTTAAGGCATCTCCTACCCATGGGAATTTGGGTTGTTTCTAATTGTTTTGATACAATAAATGATGCAGTGTACAACTTTGTCCGTATATCTTTTGACGCTCATGGAAGTTTGTATTAGAGATTCCAGCAAGCAGAATTGCTGGGTTGCAGGGTAAGAACGTTAAATAAACATTTGGGTACTGGGCGCCTGGGTGGCTCAGTTGGTTAAACGTCCAACTCCTGCTTAGGTCATGATCTCACGGTTCATGGGTTCTAGCCCCATGTCGAACTCTGTGCTGACAGCTCAGAGCCTGGAGCCTGCTTCAGATTCTGGGTCTCCCTCTCTCTCTCTGCCCCTCCCCTCCTCATGCTCTGTCTCTCTCAAAAACGAATAAACATTAAAAAAAAAAAAAAAGTTAACATTTGGGTACTTACTTCAAATTGCCCTCCAAAAAAACTGCATGGTTTTGCATTCTCACAAATGATGATAGGATCTGTGTCCCCACACCCAGTCTAATAGGTTGAAATGGTGTCTCATTATTTTAGCACCTTAAAAATAATAAAGTGATAACATGCTGAAGCTCCTTAAGAAGTTACAATCTTTGTACAGATAAAAGTGTTTTGCCTTTGTTTTTTAACCATCAAAAATTATGTCTTTAAAATGTGAATTTCGGAGTGCCTGGGTGGCTTAGTCGGTTAAGCGTCCGACTTTCGCTTAGGTCATGATCTCGCTGTTCGTGGGTTCGAGCCCCACGTCGGGCTCTGTGCTAACTGCCAGCTCAGAGCCTGGAGCCTGTTTCAGAGTCTGTCACTCCCTCTCTCTCTGACCCTCCCCTGCTCACGCTGTCTTTCTCTTCTAGAAATAAATAAAAAAACATTTAAAAAAATGTTTTTAAATGTGAATTTCTATGATTATCCTAAGGTTGAGTTGCTTCTTATGTCTTTGATAATTATTTGTATTTTTTCCTATGAACTATCTGATTATATTCTTTCCCCAATTTTTTTTTTTTAAATGTTTATTTTTGAGAGAGACAGCACGGGTGGGGCAGGGGCAGAGAGAGAGGGAGACTGGGGATCCAAAGTAGGATCCAGGCCCTAACAGCAGAGAGCCTGATGCGGGGCCTGAACCCACAAATGGTGGGCTCATGACCTGAGCTGACATCAGATGCCTAACCTACTGAGCCACCTGGGTGCCCCTCTTCCTCAGTATTCAGTTGAGGTGTTTCTCTTCTCCTCGATCTAGAAGTGCCTTTATGTATATCAAGGATATTAATTCTTTGCCCCATTTGTGATTGGTCGGTTAATGATGCTTATAGTTTTTCTTTTTCTTTCTCTGTAGAGATTTTTTTAAAAATGTTAATGTCTATTTATTTTTGAGAAATCGAGACAAAGCATGAGTCGGGGAAGGGCAGAGAGTGAGGGAGACATAGAATCCAAAGGAGGCTCCAGGCTCTGAGCTGTCAGCACAGAGCCTGATGCAGGGCTGTGAAATCATGACCTCAGCCAAAGTTGGATGCTTAACCAAATGAGCCACCCAGGCGCCTGAGAAATTAGAAAAATTTTTTTCAGTGTTTATTTGAGAGAGAGACAGAGACAGAGAGAGAGAGAGAGAGAGCAGAATGCAAGCAGGGGGAGGGGCAGAGAGAGAAAGAATGAGACAGAATCTAAAGCAGGCTCCAGGCTCCGAGCTGTTAGCACAGAGCCTGACATGGGGCTCAAACTTGTGAACTGAGAGATCATGATCTGGGCCGAAGTCAGACACTCAAATGACTGAGCCACACAGGTGCCCTAGCATCCCAGAAATTTAAAATTTTAATTTAGATGGTCTTTTTGACTTAGGAGTTTCTTGTGCTTAGTGGAAAGGTCTTCTCTACCTTAAAACTGGTAAAATAATCATCTGCAAGTTTCTTCTAGTACTTTAAGCGGTTTTATTTCTTTGATTTGCCAGCAGTGCTGGCGTTGGAGCTTTAACACCTTGATAAAAAGACTGAAAACAGAGGTGCCTGGGTGGCTCAGTCAGTGGAGCATCTGACTTTGGCTCCAGTCATGATCAGGGAGGATAATGTCTCTCTCTCTCTGCCCTTCCCCCTCTTGTGTGCTCTTGCGAGCGCTCTCTCTCTCTCTCTCTCTCAAAAATAAACATAAAAAAAGAAAAAAAAAAAGACCAAACAAACAAACCCAGAATTTCATTCAAATAGCCATGGATTCAAATCTCAGTTCTGATATACTAGTTTTGTGACTTTGGAATGGGGACACTGGCCATCTCCCAGAGTTACAGAGGGGATTAAATGACACAAACTATGTAAAGCACCTAGTAAAATTTTAGTTCTCAATGAAGGGTAATTATTATTGTCAGTACCATCATTCTCCCAGCTTTGAAGGACAAAGCTTCCATCCTTTGTCCCTAGAAGCAGGTACCTTCTACCCCTTTTCATTTGCTCATGTGTTTACTCAACAAACTCAATATTGTGCATCTTCTTTGTTCTTGCTTCTGTGTTGAGGGGGTATACGAAGTTGAGTAAGACCTAGGGGAAAGGGAGAGACAAACAGATGAACCGATAGTTACAAAACAGTGCAATCAGTAGACTGAGACAGTGGAGAATATTTTCGGGAGTGGCTAGGGAAGGCTTCCTGGAGGAGGTGCTATCCAAGAAGGGTGTGTATGTTTGAGGGCCAGAGGTGAGAGAACAGCAACTGCAGGAACCACAAGCAATTCCCTGTGATTGAAGCATCAACCGGCCTCTAGGGGGTGGAAGCCTCTAGAGGGTGGAAGACTAGTGGGGAGGAGTCTGTGGGTCCGGCTGGAAAACTTAAACTTTATCCTGCAAGACAGATGGCAGAGTTTCTGAAGGATTTTAGCAGAAGTCAGATTTACTAAAGTTAGATTTACATTTCCCACAGCTCACTGGGATGGGGTTGGGTGAAGAAATGGATTTGAGGGGCTGAGCCTGGAGGCTGGATGAACACCAGCTGCATTCCTACGGACACAGATGAGCAATATAGATACACATTTAGGAGACATGGGTGTATTGGTGAGGTGGGGATGGGATGAAGGAGAGGGAGAATAACAGCAGGTACCCAATAAATATTTGTTCAAATGATGGTTTTACGGTAGTGGAACCATTATCTGAGAAAGGAGAGGGACAGTCTTGGGGGTAGAAAGTGAATTATTTTTGACCTGTGTTTGAAACAGTTCAGAGGTGTGTATGAACAGCTGCCTGAAGACCTTCCTTAGGCAGGTGGCAGTAGGAGATAAGGAAGGACTGAAGTCTATCAAGTGACAGTGACAGGTGAGGGTGAATGGGCGAGATTCTGCGGGGGTGGGTAGCCGAAGAGGTGACCAGCCAGGATGCCCTAAACCCACAGCGCCAGGCGTGGAGTGAGCGAGGTTGCCAGCGCTGGGTTCCTGGCGGCAGGGGGCGCACTCGGATTCGAGGACCCGAAACGGAAGGCTGTGGAAGCTCCCAGAGTGTGCAGAGGGAGACCAAGCTGAATCTGAGGGAGCCCGGGGCCTCGGAGATAGGGCTGGCGACTCCGATCCGGGAGACGCATCTGGGCTGCTGAACGTTCACTCCCCAGTGCCCGGCCTCCATCCCTCTGCCCTAGCAGTCGTGGAGGCAGGTCCAGCTCGCTGATGAGACTAGAAGCCCAGAGTCCTCCCCACTGCACGCGCTCTCCCCGAGGCGCTGCCCGCCGCGTCACCACAGAGGGCCCTTGACGGAGACGCCTGGGAATGGGGCGTAAGGGGTAAGGGGGGTGGAGGTGGCGCAGGACAACGGGGATGAGATGGTCAACTCTGGGTAGAGGTCCCCAAGGGGACCAAGGACAGCGGGAACGGGTGGGCGAGGGGGCAGTGGATGGGAGAAAACCGTCCTAGGGTACAGACGAGCTCCAAACTCCCACCTAGGGATCCCCCAAGAGCATCGTCTAGGGATCGGGCAGATGGCACCCCAGAGACGGATCGGTGTCAGGAGCGCAGGGAAGAGGCACCCCACGCCTGGACAGGGGTCCGGGGATCCGGGATGTGCAGACAGCGCCTGGATGGAGGACACTGGGGGCAGACGAGTGAAATCAGAACACAAAGCCCGAGGCAGCTGGGGATGGCAGCGTTGCGTGGGACAGGCAATGGAGGTGGCAGGAGCAGAACAACCCACACGGAGCCAGAGCATCGGGACGTGGTGCCCAGGACAGAGGGGAAGCTGGGGACTGTGTAGCCGGCTGGAGAAGAACCGAGTGCAAGGAGCCCAGCTGCGTGTGCGAGAGAGGCAGGCATGCAGTCTACCGGAGCATCGACGGGGGGACAGAACCCAGGGTCAGAGCTTCGGAGTAAGGCTCTGGAGAGACGCTGGGGGTAATGCCCCGGGGGATTCCCAGCCGGGCTGTTACTCCAGTTTAAGGCAGCAGACCAGAGGCAACCCACCACTGCCCCTGGCCCCCCCCAGCTCTCTTGTTTGTCTCCCAAGTCCGGCCGGAACCGGCTTCTGCTCGCCGCCGGGCGGGCGGGTAGCTGCTGATTGGTCACTGGCTGTTTCCAGCCCCCACTCAGCCAATCAGGGTGCGACAGTGTTTTCGTCTTGGGGTCGGAATTAAAGCGCTGGAATAAAAGGAGGCAGAAAAGTCGCCGGCCGGGCCCGATACACGCCAGTAGCAGCCGGGTGAGCTGGGTCCTGGGGATCTGGGCATTGGGCGAAGGTGCTAGGCGTACAGAAGGCGCACGAATAGGGGCATAGGGAGATGATGTATGACGATGAGAGGAAACAGATTTGGTGAAGTTCCGCCAGGGATGAGATGACGAATAGAGGCGGCAGCCTGGAGATGGAGGGACGGGGGTCCGCTTCCATGGGAACAGACTAAATGGCGCGGAAGCAGCCCGGGATGGGGGTCGCGCCAGGTTGCTCGCGCCGCCGGTTTGAACCGGCTTCGCCTCTCCCATGCGGGATTCGCGTGGCCGCAGCCCTTAGCGACCTAGACAGCGGCCAATGGCGCGGCAGTTCCTAGCCGTCCAGCCTATGAGCGGGCCGGGGGCGGGCCGTTCTAGAGTCCCTGCGCTGATCTTGTGGTTGAAGGAACCAGCTCTGGGGAAGGGTCTCGAGTGCGGGCGGGAGAGCGCCTGTCAGGGTCCCAGGGAGTGGCAGTCCTCAGGTATGACCCTGCCCAGGTATTCGGACCTGAAGGTGCGTCCCCTGACGGTCCCCAAGCTGTGTCAGTCCTGCGGAGAGCCAGGATTAATTCCACGTCCCTGAGCATTCGTTAGTCCCTCCTGTTTTCATGCCTCAGGTTTCCTCGGAGTGAGCCAAGGGAGAGGTCTCCCTGCCTGGCCGGGGCCGCTGCTCCGTAGCTGAGGGCAGAAGGACGAGCCGGCCGCGGACAGGCTGGCCTGGGGTCCAGGCAGGGCTGGGGCTTCCTTCGCTGCGCGTACCCACGGCCCGGGCCGCGGAGGGGTGACAAGCTCCGCGCGCTGCGGCAGCGGCCCGGGTTGGCCGCACAGGCTGGGCAGAGACGGGCGCTGACGCCAGGTCTGTGTGCATTCAGGTGGCTGCAGAGCCGGAGCCGGAGCCTGGCCGCTACGCCGCGCCATGGCGCCCACCCTCGCCACTGCCCATCGGCGCCGCTGGTGGATGGCCTGCACGGCCGTGTTGGAAAACCTCCTCTTCTCGGCAGTCCTCCTGGGCTGGGGCTCGCTGCTCATCATGCTCAAGTCGGAAGGCTTCTACTCGTACCTGTGTACTGAGCCAGGTGAGACGGGCGTCTCGGGCTCTGGGTGGATCCCGGAGTGGGGGTTTGGGAGAGGGCGAGATGGCAGTGAAGACCCAGCCCGCCATAGCGCCTCCCATTTAGCAAAAGCCCCGTTTGATGCTCAGCCAGCTCTGCTGGGTACGCATCATTGTCTCTGTTTTATGGATGAAGAAACTGAGGCTCAGACCGATCTTCTGACTCATCCAAGGCCACACAGTTGAGGACTGTGGTAGTTCCAGCATCTCCAAGTCCAAGATGTTCTTTCCACCAGCTAGGAGCCTTGCTGGATTCCTCTCCTGCTGGTGTCTGGCCTGTCACTTGACTTGCACTAAATATGTTCTCTGACTGTGAGAAAGAGGAACTCCTGACTCAATGATTGGGGTACAGCAGAAGAGAGAGGAAGTGGTTTGGCCTCCACCGCTCTGAAGGTTCATCTAGAATCTAGATGTTTTTTAGGCCACTATGGAATCTCTTCAGGGCATGTCAGCTACAATTTCTTGTCTGCTTTTGCTGCCTTATGATTTTCCAGAGAACATTTCTTCCCATAGGCCACGAGGACATCTCCATGGCCTTCTATCTGCCTATCATGGTAGGGGGAGGCAAGGGGAGTATTTAAGGAAATAACACTAGTTCTGTCCTTGCCCTTTGCTGCACTGGGGTTGCTGAATGCAGGCGGAGGATGCTTGGCTACAAGAAGTGTAAGCCCCACTCCGGTCCTCACACGCCCCCTCACCTGGTTTAAGGATCCTAATTGCTATAGGTCAGTAGATTAAGCCAAGCAGTAGGATCCAAGTCCCCACCTCTACCCTCGAACCCCTTTCCTAGGTAACCCTGATAGGAAATGTTTCCCTCTGCCCTCTTGCTGTCCCCAACAGCGGCCACCTAATAGTTGAACTCCGCAATATCTCTTCCCAGTGCCTCTGTCAGCCAACCCCTGTGCGAGTCCCCTTAGAGGGAGATAGCTTAAGTTTGACCCAGGTTAGAGGCCTAAATCTGGGGGAAGAGAAAGCTTTGGACCCCCTTTCCGGCTGCCTGGAACCCCTTGTGGGATCCTCCTCCTTTCCCTTTGCTGATGGTCCCAGGACATTCCCAGGTGTTTCAGTCTCTAGGCAAGCTTTGCTGGACAAGGCAAGGGCGGGAGAAGCCGAGGGGATGCAGAGGCCCCCAGGGGAGAGGACACAGAGTATGTCATTTATAACCTTTAGCCTTTAGCTACTCAGAAATATTTCTTAATAGCCTAAAGGTTCTTGGCAGACCTTTTCCCACATCAGCAAGAAATCTTGGGAGACGGGAGAGTCACTCAGACCTTGTTCCTTGAACAAGCTTTCTGCTTTGCCCAAGAGATGTTAGCAGATTAAGGACTCTCGGGAAGAAGCAGGTTGGAGTTTGGCTCCTCCCCTGCCCTCCAGCTTTAGATCCTGACCCTGCTTGCCTCTTTGATGGATCGTTTCGGGCTACACCGAGGGTCTTAGAAACAGAAACTGACATCATCCCCAGATGAAGCTTTTAGCATCTCATCCAGACTGAGGGACTGTTGTGGTCGATTTTTTTTTTTTTTTTTTTGGACCTCCTGTGGAAGGTCAGATTCTAGAGTTTTATCCCCCAGATTGTCCCACCGCTTTAATTTATTTTATGGCATCGGCAGCATTGAGGCCGGTCACTTCATTCCTGCCTCGACCTTGGCTTCTTCCTTCGTTGAAATGGGAGGAGTCCCGGAGATTGTGCCGACACAGTGCTGAGTTGGTGTTTAAGCCCTAGAGGCTTGACCCCGTCCCTCCTATAAAGCAAAGTGAAGGTGAAGGGTCAGGTTGTAGGTTGAACATCAACTTCTTATCCCGTGCCTTTGCTCCTGCCTTTGATTTTGTGTTTTCTGACTCCCTGGCAAACCTGCTGACCTAGCATCCTTGATGGACAGGCCTGCCAATTCCACTTAGCTTATCTCTGGCCTCGCTGCTCCTCACTTCTTGCAGTCCAATTAGCCTATTGCCTCTGGGAGCCAGGAGTCTCCTTCGTGCCCCACCTAACTGGGAGTGCCTGGAGGATTTAGGGTCAAGGTTTCTGCTTGGGCCTAATATTTTCAAACTTGGTGGATGGCTGAACTGCAGAGAAGCCTTCGGGCCATGAATTGAATGCGGCTGTGACAAGCAGGCTGGTCTACAGCTGATTGAGATGCAGATTTGTCAGCTTTTGGTTGCTTTCTGGACCTTTGCTTTGGTTTGTTCTCTAAAGCAAATTTGCCTGAACCTGTTGAAAGGTTCTTGGGACTCCGGCCAGAATCTGGCCACAGACGCGGTGTTGGGTTCCAGCATAGTGAGGTGCGAGAAGGAAAGAAAAAGCCCGTTTCTCTGTTGCCTCTCTGCTCTTTTTGCCGTGGCCGCCAGGCAGGACTGATAAGGACTGGGGTGGGTTTTTGGGCTTTGCCTCCTGATGTGGACAGGGCTTCCCAGGCCAGGGGGAATGGGGCGTTCCCAGAACCATGTCGTTTTGGCCTCCGGAGGGGCTGCTGTACGTGCCCACTCTTGACCTCTTTCTTCATTCTGCCGTCTGACGGCCCTCTTGGACAGGGTCAGATCAGGGGGCTGGTGATCTCACCTAACCTCCAGGTTCTGTAAGCGTTGGTTGAGGCGCTGTGCCGGGGGTGTAGGGCAGTCCCAGGGGGTCTGCAGTCTGCCAGCGTCAACACATGGACCGTATCATTACGAGAGGTGTCGGAGCCCCAGTGGAGAGCCGCGTGCCAAGAAGGAGAGCCACTGCGGGCATCTGGTTCAAGTTGGGTGGCAGGGCCTCTCTGATGTTTGGAGGGCAAAGAGGGGCGAGTTGGGAGAAGAACGGGCAAGGAGAGGTGGGAAGGGGCCAAGGGCCTAGGAAGCCACTTGGGGAAGTTGGATTTTATTCTCAAGGCGAGAAGAAGAGACAGAGGCAGAAGAGGGTGACCATCACATTCACCTGTTAGACTCTAGGAGTTGTTGAGGCCTTGCCACATACTGGACGTGGGGTGGGGGCGGGCGTCGTGGCCTCTGCCTGAGGAAGTCTCAGTCCAGCTCCTCCGTGGCAGACCTCCGTGGCAGAGCTCCGTGGCAGAGCTCCGTGGCAGGCCTTAGTTCTGGGCTCTTGACTATCGCGGTCTCCCTACCTGTGGTGGCAGGGGAGCTGAATCCCCATGAGACAGAGTAGGAAGCTGGGCCCCTGAGGGGGAAGGGGGCCGCAGGGGGCAGAGAGGCTGCCGGCAAGGCAGGAAAGCAGAGCCAGGCCTGGTCCCCAGCAGGTGGCCAAGGTTGCAGACAAGAGACATTCCCTGCTGCTTGGAGACCCTCTTTTAACCGGATCCCCCCACTCTCCCCCTCACAGGCTGCTGGCTTTTGATACCTTTTGAAAACCCACCCTTTTACTTGTATTGCTGTGAATGCGACTGTTTCCATCCCCTCCTCCCCAGTTTATTTTGGATTTAAAAAAAAAAAAGTATTCTGTAGCAACGGGTAAGGTCTAAAGGCTGGTGCCCATGGCCTCAGGATGCATCACAGAAAGGAGCTGGCGCCCTCGGCAGCCCTTCCTACCAACCCTGCCTTCCTCCTGCCCATTTCATGACCCAGTTTCCCTCCCCCACATCCGCTGGCCCCACCTGCCTTCGTGGTGTTGCATGAAAGTTCTGTCCAGCTTGGGCTGTCTTTCAGGGAGGATCTTGGAGACGGTCCCATTCACACTAGGTGTCATTAAGAGCCACCTGGTGCTGTCCCCGACACGGTGACAGCCTTGTGCTGTCTCCATTCCCTTGGCATATTCTCTCTGAAATGCCTCTAACTCAGGTAGTACAAGCAGCAGCACAGCCTGAAGGTCAAAACCAGGAACTTTGAGGTCCCGCAGCCCGGTTTCAAGTCCAGCTTCCCCATAAGGGACTGTCTGGGAGACCATGGGCGGGCAGCTTGCTGGTGTCCCGGTGTGGCGTATGGTGGGGGTGAGAGGGTGCTGAGTGACACAGAACGAATGGCACTGAATACAGCAGGCAGCGTGCACAGGCATCTGGGACCACAGCGAGGGGCTAGGCCCTGGCCTCCCCAGGATGGCCCTGTGACTGTCTGTGGCCTGCCTTTTGTTTGCTCTGTGTTTGAGACTGACCTCTCACCTACATCCCCCTGTTGGACCGAGATGCTGCTTCCTGTTGCCGGATAGACTAAGGATTTGGGAGACAGACAGGAGATCCTGGGGCAGGGGCCATCGGCAGGGAGGTCCAGGGGCCTGCATCCTGGGTGGGGGGCTCAGTGCGCAGCCAGCCAGAGAAGGGGGGTGCTCGGAAACTTGGAGGGGCCTCCAACCCGGTGTCTCTTGCTCCCTTAAGCACCATGCAGCCAGCTGTCCTCGTTCCCTTTGTTGCTCTGGGGCGGGGGGAGCCCCCTCTTTGACCCAGGGATGTCAGGGGAGTCTGACAAAAAGGGAGCACCCCCGTTTTGTCCCCTGCTTTTACTGTGCAGATTGTGTGCGAGTCTTCTGGGAGGAGAGCTGAACAGTGCAGGCATTGTTCTCTCTCCCCTGCCCCTAAGCAGCCTCACAGCTATTTTCCCGGCACACTCTGGCCACACCAGTCCCTTGCCTGTCCTCTTGATTCACCTTCCCCCGCTGGGCTGGTCCAGGCCACCCTGGCCACTCACTGCAGACACATCTGTTTAATAAACAGGTGCCAGTGAGGTGCAGAGCAAGCCGGTTTGGGGAGAGGCCCGAGCTCCAGGTTGGGAGCAGAGGGGCACCCCAGGGCTTGACACTTCCTTTGTGCTTTATCTGTTTGTGTCTTTCCTGGCCCACGGTGGCCCAGGTGGGAGCAGAGGGAGAGGAGCAGCTTGGGTGCGGCTGTGTTTGGGCATCTGCCGGATCTGTGATTATTCATGTGGGCTGTTTACTGCCCACAAAACTTCTGGGCTCCCCGGAGATTTGGTCCCCTCTAGGAGTGAGGGGCACTGTTGCTTTGCTTCATGGGCAGACAAAGAGAGGCCACTGGGACCCCCCACCCCAGGCTGGACATCACTGCCCAGAGGCAGGAGGCCAGGCAGAGGCTAGGCAGCCCTGTCGGCAGGGATTTTTTTAAGGAGAGGAAGGTAGTGGCCCAAGGTGTGTAAGGTCCCTGCTCCTGAGTGCAGTGGCTGGAAGATGAAAGACGGGGAACAGATATCCTTCCCCCTAGTGTCGCCTTTCTCCTTGTGAGCTTCCCTGGCTAGCTAACTCTGAGTAATTCAAGATGCTTCCATCTTGAGTGGACAGGACTTGAATGTCCATCTCAACTGGACATGCCCAGTTATGGCAAATCAGGGAGACTGCCTTGGGGACATTGCCTGGGATTATTTATCCTGTCTCTGTGGGTGGGTATACTCATGGATTTAGGGGTCTAGCTCTGGGGAAACTGAGGGGCGGGCACCCTGGGGCCTCTATCCAGTTCCGTCAGTTCCCAGTCCAGCTCTGGCTGTCTGCTCATAGCAGCAGATCCTGCAGCACTCCGAGTCCTGAGTTGTTATGTGCCTTTTATTTATTTTTATTTATTTATTTTAAATATTTATTTTTGAGGGAGAAAGAGAATGAGAGTGGGTGCACACGTGTGATCAGGGGAGGGGCAGAGAGAGATGGGGACAGAGGATCTGAAGCGGGCTCTGCCAGCAGCAAGCCCCACGTGGGTCTCGAACTCACTAACTGAACCATGAGGTCCTGCCCTGAGCCGAAGTCGGACGGTCAACTGACCGAGCCACCCAGGCGCCCCTATTTCGTGTCCTTCAGTGCAGTCAGGGGCTCCAGACCCTGCGTGGGCACAATCAGGGCTCACGAGCCAACGATCTTGATCCTGGGCCCTCAGGTGCCTTTTCCACCCGTCTCCACTGTCACACCCGTGCTGCTCTGCCCCCCTCTGCACACCAGCGTGGGGATGGCCGTTGCTGTGTGGGGACCCTGCCCTCCCGTTTCCTGTTGCTGCTGGCTGAGCTGTCACCAGAAGCCAGTGCCAGCCTGTGAGGCAGCCCCGCCTCTGCGGAGTCCCCCCCCACAGTGGCTGTGTGGCTCAGGCCCGCTGGCCGAAGCAGGGCGTGAGGTGGTTCTGACCTGGACTCCGGTGGGCTCACGTGATCCTGTTGGTCACGCGTTTGGGCTGTCAGCGTGGTGGGGCCTCTTTTGGAAAACTGGAAGTGGCAGAGATTGGGGGAGGGGGAGAGCCTGGCTTGCTATGTTTTGTTTCTGTGGCTTCAGGAGGTTAGCGATGTGCCTTTTATCTCCTTACATCCCCCCATCTTCATGGTTCCGTATGTCCTAGTTCCTTCTACTCCCTGGGTCCTTTTGGCTGTTGTGATCTGACTTCATCGTATTCATTCATTCCGTAAACAGCTACCGTACACTAGGGCCTGGGCGAGGTGCTGGGGACATGGGCCCCCAGTGGAGGACTAGACACAAATTCATGCCACACACACACACACACAGTCATGGAACTCTGCACCCGGTTCTGTTGCCCGGCTTGGCCACCAGCCGCGTGCGCCATCCCAGGACTCCCGTAACAGTGATGATAGTAACTCGTCGCTACTGTTTAGTGAGCACTTTCTATGTCCATGTGAGCCCTGCAGTGTTATCCAGATTTTCTCATTTATCTCCTAGCAGACTCCAGGAGGTAGATACTATTATTATGTTATGCCATTTTACACATAAAGAAACTGAGATGGAGCGAGATTAAGTCACTTTTCCAAGGTTATACAGGTAGGAAGTAGCGGCACCAAAATTGGAACCCAGAGGCCAGGTTGTGGCACCTCTCCCTCAATCAGTGTGCCCCCTGCAGGGCTCGTTGGTTAAGAGGTTGGCATATAGCATGATTCACCTTAAGTGCATCCTTTTCCTGGGCAGGCCTTTGCAGCCCTCAGCTTGACAGCCCTGGTGCCAGAGGGCCGCGGTCGGGAGGCAGGCAGTTATCTGGAGCGAGGTGTTTCCTTAGCTCTCCTCGTGTGACCTCGCATCTAATCAGAGGCCGCTCCTCGTGGGATTAGTCAGCATCTCTCAACTAGCTTTCCCAGAGAGAGGGCTCCCGTGCCGCCTTCCGGCCTGCACTCCGCCCTCCAGCCCTCGGCTGCTGCAGCACTTCTCCCTCTCTCGTTTCCGTTGTCTTGGTGCCCGGTGGACTTTGGAGGGGTGTTAAGGGCTGAGATTGCAGCACAGGTGTCGCCACAGCAGCACTTGACCCCAGCAAGAAAAATAAGAAAGGTGAACCTCCATGAGTGAAAGCAAATAACTTGGGACTGTTTTAAAAAAAAAAAAAACCCTTTCTCGGGGCACCTGGGTGGCCCAGTCGGTTAAGCATCTGACTTCAGCTCAGGTCATGATCTCACGATTTGTGGGTTCGAGCTCCGCATTGGGCTGTGTGCTGACAGCTCAGAGCCAGGAGCCTGTTTCAGATTCTGTGTCTCCCTCTCTCTGTCTCTCCTCTGCTCACTCTCTGTCTCTCAAAAATGAATAAACATTAACAAATTAAAAATAAAAACAAAAAAGCCTTTCCCAGGGATTCTGTGACACAGTGTATGTGGTGGTCGATGCTTTGAAAATACCAGGGGGCGGGGGCAGGTGTACGGATGAGAAGTCTCCTGGACTCAGCAGTAAAGGAGGCCCACTCGCTCTTCCCTTTGGTTGACCAAGGAGAACTGAGGCATTGCAGGGAGACCAGCAGCCCGTGCTTCCCAAGTGGTCTGGGATCGACCACCTACACACTGGCTGCAGTCTGTTTCCAGGGACGGAGCTTCTGAGAAGGTTTCAGCCTGCCTGCAGCCCCACAGCCTAAACTGAGTCCTGAGGCCCATTCTTCTAGAGTGTGGGTTACTCTAGCATGGGAATCCCCAGCTGGGACACATGCGTGCTTCAGGGACACCTGAAACTCCAGAAACTGTGGACAAGACTTCCTGTGCATTTTCTGAGGAGCAGAACTTTCTCCCTTTTCCCCAAAGGGTTTGTGCCCTCCACAAACGACCAGGGCCTCCGCCTTATTGCTCCGGGGCTTGGGCCAGATGGACAGCCACGCCTGCTGGGGGGTAGCTAGAGCCAGCCCTGACATTTCTGGTGGGGCCTGGATGTGCGTCTGCCCCTCTGGCCTTTGGGCATCGCTGCCTGAACCCTGTGATCAAGTTTCCCTCCTTCTGCACACACAGAGAACGTCACCAACGGCACAGTGGGGGGCACGGCGGAGCCGGAGCACGAGGAGGTGAGCTGGATGAATGGCTGGCTCAGCTGCAAGGCCCAGGATGAGATGCTAAACTTGGCCTTCACCGTAGGCTCCTTCCTGCTCAGTGCCATCACCCTACCTCTAGGCATCGTCATGGACAAGTATGGCCCGAGGAAGCTCAGGCTGCTGGGCAGGTCAGTGCAGGGGTCGGGGTTGGGCAACTGCGACTCCTGGGGTCCCCACTGTAGGGAATCCTGGTACCTGCTCTCAGATGCACTGAGCTCCCTAAATGCCCGCCCGGAGTGGGACTCCTATCCGTCCCACCACGAAATCGGTAGGCCCTGTGACCCTTGAGGCGTGCCGGTACTGAGTAAAAAAGGTTCAGGGCCCCAGGCCCACCTGGAAGGGTTTGGAGTTGCTTGTCATTAAGAACACTGGTTTCCACCGTCTTCCTGACCTTCTTACATAACTCCCGTCAGAAAAAAAGATTTTGAACACGTGCCTCCAATGTAAACATGGGATTATCAGTTATATACGCAGATGCCATTCGTAATACTTTATGTGCTTTATGATGCAGGTACCAAAAAATGTCAATTAAAGTGGCTAAGGTTAAAAATGATAAAATAGTTTAAATTTTTAAAAATTGCAAAAAAAAAAAAAATCACCGAATTCCGGTCCTGAAACCAATACTGCACTGTATGTTAGCTAGCTAAAATTGAAATTAAAAAAAAAAAAAAAGATGAAACAGAAGTCCTCTGTTTCCACCACTCCTGGCACCACAGTGGATCATTTTGTGCACTCCCCGATACGGTCTGGAAAGCTCCAGTCTGCCGGACTCAGAGTCAGACCACCGGGAAGCTGGCCCTCTCAGGCCGGCATCCTCCCCAGACCAGCCCCACCGGGAACGATCACGTGCAGGGCAGTGGTTTGCAACCAGTGAGGCCTGTGGCTGTGAAGGGCATGGGTAGGGGATCAGTTTCACTTATTCTTTGGAGCCTAAGAGGCCTCTGTCCCCAGGACGGAGCCAGGCAGCCGGGACTCTGAAGCTGCCATTATCTCCCTCATGCTCAGCATGGTTCTGTCCCTCCCCTGGCGGGGCCGGCACAGGAACCCAGGAGATGGATTGCGCCCTCTCTCACTTCAGAGCCCTGGCCTCTCCGGTCGGAGGATGGGAGGGGACAGCGCAGGGGACAGTGATATTTACCAGATCTGCCTTTGGGCCTTGAATTCCAGTTTAGACACCTACTAGGGAGGAGACTTCTGAGAATGTAGTTCGTTTTTTTCTTTCTTTCTTTTTGTTTTATTTTCTTCATCAGTAAAACGGAGCCAGTTATACTCCTTACAAATGTTAAATTAAATGAGAGAATGTATATACATTTTATGAAAACATCTGACCCATAGTAAATACTTCCAAATAACACGACTAATAATAAGCCATGTACTATCTCTGCTTGGTTTTAGTGCCTGCTTTGCTGTCTCCTGCTTGCTGATTGCATATGGAGCAAGTAACCCAAACTGTGAGTACGCTTTTCCTCTACCCTTTGGTCAGGGATTGGGGAGGGAGTGCCCAGAGGTGCTCACGAGCCCACCTGCTCTAGGAAGCCGTGCCAGGCCTTACTGCTCAAGTTAGAGGGTAGCTGGTTAGGCCTTCACCCAGTTACTTATCTCAAAGTGTGGGCTGGATACGGCAGCAGCGCCCCCCAGACAGATGTCTGAGAGAAGCTCCTGGGGTGTGCCATGCTCCCATCTCATCATAAGCCAGGCCAGTCCCCGATGGCCTCATTGATGCCAACCTGAAACAGATGCTAAGAGCCAAGCCAGCTGAGGGATGTGTCTAGAAGTTGGGAGCTGAGTCCCCTGAGGCAACCTAGGCCAGCGCTGCGAGGTTGGTTTAGAAGCTGGGGCGTCTAAGAGGTGCCTGCGTGGCTCAGTGGGTTAAGCATCCAACTTTGGCTCAAGTCACGATCTCATGGTTTGTGGGTTTGAGCCCCCACATTGGGCTGTGTGCTGACAGCTCAGAGCCTGGAGCCTGCTTCGGATTCTGAGTCTCTCTCTCTCTCTGCCCCTCCCCTGCTCATGCTCTGTCTGTCTCTCTCAAAAATAAAAATGAACATAAAAAAAAAAAAAAAAGGAGCTGGGGCACCTGGCTGGCTCAGTCAGAATAGCGTGCAACTCTTGATCTCAGGTAGTGAGTTCAAGCCCCATGTTGGGCACAGAGCCTACTTTAAAAAAAAAATGGCTTAGAACCCAGCTGGTCCCCAGCCGTGTTTAGGTGGGGCTGTTGCTCCAAGGACTCTCAGAACAAACACCAAAATAGAACCTGAGTTTTATCAAAATCTTAGCTGGGCTCATCTACGATTTTTGAGGACCCCGTAGTCTTGGTTTCTGTGAAGCAGCTTCTGTGGGCCTCTGGCTTGCTGCTACGGTTAATGGAGAACGGAAGATGGGGACAGACCTGGAGCAGGAGTCCAGGCCCCATAAAATAAAAGAGGAGGGTGGCGAGGAAGAGGCTGTCCCAGCTCCCCAGGTGGCCAGCGCGCACCCCCGCCGGCCCACCGGCCGGTCCGCTTGCTCCCCGCAAGGCACTGGGCCGGGCCTCCCTGGAGCTCAGCCGTGGCGCCCAGATGACTGAGCCTCCCGTTTTCTTTCAGCTCTGTCTGTGCTCATCTTCATCGCCCTGTCTCTGAATGGCTTTGGTGGGATGTGCATGACCTTCACCTCCTTAACAGTAAGTGTTGATTTGTTAAAGCTCCCTCGTTCAGTCATCTCGTGGTGAATTTGAGGCAGCTTCTGTTGGCGTCGGTTTCCCTGCTTTCCGTTGGCCCACCTGTGCCTGGACACCCCAAGCAGGGGAGGCTGCTGGTGGTGAAGTGGCCTGGCAGCAAAGCCGGTCATGGCCTCCCGGGCTGGGAGGCTCCGGAGGCGGGTCCGAAGGCGCAGAGCTCGGCCCTCGGAGTGAGCCCGTGCCCTGCCTTCTGACCGTGGTTTAGGTGCTGAGGAAGCCAGCTCACTAGCCACGTACCCAGAGAAGACAGGAGCAGGGAGGAAATAGCTACCTACCGCCCACTTTCTTTTCTCTCCGATTTCGTGGCGGCTCTGGCTAATGGTACAACCTACAAACCAAGCTCCCTTGGAATCTCCTCGCCCCTCACCGTTGTCTTTGTCCAGAATGGAATGGAAAACTCAGGGGAGTACCTGGCTGTCTTCCTTCTTGGTTTTCTAAATGCCAGGGCCCAGCGAGCCAACCTGAGGAGGGAGGTGTTTTTTTGGGATGCTTGAGCACCCCCTTCCCTATAACCGTAGAACAACCCAGAATTTGCCTCTTTTTGAGGTGAGAGAGGTCGCAGGAAGGTCCAGGTTGAAAGAAAGAGAGTCCGAGAAGGCCAAAAATGTCCTCCCCAGGAGGAAGAAGGGAGCTCTCTGCAGCCTTGCCCTTCAGAGCTGGCTGATGGGAAAGAAGTAAGAAAACTACATTTCTGGGGCGCCTGGGTGGCTTAGTCGGTTAAGCGTCCGACTTTCGCTTAGGTCATGATCTCGCGGTTTGTGGGTTCGAGCCTCGCGTCGGGCTCTGTGCTGACTGCCAGCTCAGAGCCTGGAGCCTGTTTCAGTCTGTGACTCCCTCTCTCTCTGACCCTCCCCTGCTCACTCTGTATCTCTCTCTCTCTCTCTCTCTCCTAGAAATAAATAAAAATATTTAAAAAAAAAAGAAAACTACATTTCTCAGAGGGATTTCTATCCGACAGCAAAGTCTGGCTTGCCTCAGTTTCCCTGTGAAAAAGCTTTTATGACATAGAATCTGCTGTCCCCATTTGCAGGGCACTTTGGTCTCTGATTTCCCTTTCTACAAATGAGTCAAGTCATGCTATTGAGGGGCCCTGGGACTGCCGCTCTTCTAGAAGGAGCTTAGATAGGTAGCTGGCGCCTCGCTTTGCCGTGTTCGCTTTGTCCTGGTGGGAACGGGTAACCGTCTGGTGGAGGCCCACGGGAATGGAGAGTTCAGAGAGGTCTGTGTTGAGTGAGAAAGCACAGCACAGGGCTGTGTATGTGGGATGCTCAGGGTGTGGGTGACACAGGGGCATGGTGATGCGCACAAATCTGGGAACTCTGGTTGCCTTGCCCTGTGTGACAGGAGGGACATTTATTCTGTACTCTTTTGTGCATTTTTATTTCAGTTTTTTTTTTTTAACCAGGTAGATTTTTTTTTTTTAATGGATATATCCCTCTCCCTCCCAAGTTCCCAGGGGAAAGCAGATGTCGAAACTGTAAAAAATGTATCAGCACTGTCCAAAGTACACAGATCCCACTAAGTTGTGTAAATTATGAAACAAGAGTCATGGTTCTGTTTGTTCTTTGACAGCGTGAAAGCGACCAACTTTTTCATCAACATGAAAATTAAAAACCTGGCAGCATCCCCATGATTTCAGTCATGCTGTGCCTGTGTTATGGCACTTCTGAATCTCGGGATAAAAACAAAGAGACGGGCCTTGAACGTCAGGAGTTTATGCTCTGAGATAGAGAAGGATGCTTTATTGTAGTCAAGTTTAAGACAAATGGATAAAAACAACCACACCCTGGATCACCTTTAAGAAAGCCTTTAGGGCCCCTGGCTGGCTCAGTTGGGAGAGTATGTGACTCTTGATCTCGAGGTCATGAGTCTGGGGCCTAGGTTGAGGGTTGAGATTACTTAAAACAAAAAAGAAGAAAGCCTTTAAAATGAGCTTGTGGTTGTTATCAAGGGACATTTAGGGGAGGCTAGTGGGATTGTAAGATTTTATTTTCTGGATTTTTTAAATGATTATAAACAGTGTTTTTATGTTAAAAAGTCAATATTTTAGGGGCACCTAGATGGCTCAGTCGGTTAATCATCCGACTTTGGCTCAGGTCATGATCTCATGGTTTGTGAGTTCAAGCCCTGGGTCAGGCTCTGTGCTGACAACTTGGAGCTTGGACCCTGGAGCCTGCTTCGGATTCTCTGTCTCCCTCTCTTTCTGCCTCTCCCCTACTCCCCTCCCCAAAAAATAAATAGACCTTAAAAAAAATTTTAAGTCAACATTTTAGAAATATATATCATAAAATTCTCTAAGTATACCTTCATCAGCTTAGAATATATCTTTTCAGTATTTAAAAAAAATCTGCATAGGGACACCTGGGTGGTTTAACTGATTGAGTATCCAGCTCTTGGTTTTGGCTCAGGTCATGGTCCTAGAGTTGTGGGATCAAGTCCTACCTCGGGCTCAGCACTGCGTGAGGAGCCTGCTTGAGATTCTCTGTCTCTTCCCCTCCCCTGCTTGCGCATGCTGTCTCTCTTATAAACAAACAAACAAATCTACATATAGCCATGTTATATATTTTTAAAAAGGCTGGTACAGTTTGCATTTTTCAGTTAATGTATCTTTCACGTGTTTTTCTGCTGGGACTTAGAAATCTACCTTACTGTTTTAAACTCTAGAGATCTACTCATTATGAAATAGTTCTATGTTATTGTATAATATAGATGTACCATGATTTATTTAACCAGTTTCTTGCTAAAGGACAGTTGGGTCGGTCCCCAGGCTCTCTGATTTATGATGACGTTAAGGTGCCCAGCCCTGTACGTATATTTCTGTAAAATAAATTCCCGGAAGTGGTATTACTGTTCTTCCGCATACCAGTCCTGGTGGACCAGCAGGAATAAGAGTGGCCCTTTCTCCACATCCCTTCCTGTACGCTGTTATTAGTCTTTCAAACATCAGCCAGTCTGATCTGGTGAAAATGATATTCCATGATTTTTTAAAATTTTTCTTTAATTGTCTGCGAGGCAGAACATCTTTCCCCTCTTTTTTTGTGGTCATTTGTATTCTGTGAATTGTTTCTTTGTGTGATTTGTCTGTTTTTCTACAGGGCTGTTTTTCTTTTTTAAAGTGTTTTGTAAGAGCTCTTTTGTATATAAAGAAAATTAGCTCTCTTTTTGGAGTGAGCAAGGAATCTTCCCCTAGAGTTTTGAGGCCTCTGGGTGATCATGAATAAACTCCAGGAGGGCCGTACACTCCCTTAAGGTTGTGTGCCAGCAAACTGTGTGTGCCCAGGTGCATCTCTCTGCGGGAAGGACTGTTGCTCTCGTCAGCCTCTAACAGGTCTGTGCAATGTCCGAAAGCACCGGAGCAGGAGCACTCCCATTAAGCTCCTCGCCCGCCCATTCGGAGGCCAAAGCTACATAGGATACCTAGTGACCAGGCAAGAAAACCATCTGATTGTTACCTAAAGCATTTGGTTAGCAGATACCTGTTTAAGGGAGGCTGGTGGCTTGTTTCCTAAGGTCTCCATTCTTGGGTCTGGAGCAAGGATTAGCAAACTGCTGCCCCTAGGCCAAATCCAGACCACTGGTGAGTGTGGGGCGACGGATCAGGTAGAGGCCAGGTGGAAGCCGGCGGCGAGGGTGGTGAGAGAATTCACCCAAGGCAGAACGAAGGAGATACGAGTTTATCAGATATACCGCAGGGGAGCAGCGGGCAGAACAGCTGAAGAGAGACTGTCTGCCGGGAGGCAGTGGTGGGGGGCTGTAGTTAAGGTGGGGAGTGAGGAGGTCTGGGAATGTAGGTTCCTTGTTTGGCACCTGTGTCTGGGTATAAGTAGCCCATTGGTCAGCTGGGGCTAATGGCTATTTTGAGGTGGGTCACCTAACGGGCCTGTTTGTACTCAGCCTAGTGGTCACCACGCGCCCTTACTCAGGTTTCCATTGCTCAAGCCTGTTGCCTAAAAGAGGCCTCTACGGTGCGGGGTGCGGATTGTAAACAAAGTGTTTATTGGAACATAGCTATGCCCACTTGTTTACTATTGTCCGCAGCTGCCTTTGTGCTGTCGGGGCAGAGTGAGGGAGTTGTACAGAGACTGTATGGCCTGCAAGACCTAAAATGTGTACTGCCTGGCACTTTACGACCTTTGGACTGAGGCGCTAAGAAGCTACTCAGTTACCATTCCTTGTCCAAAGGCAGATGACGCCCTCACCCCCTCACCCCCACCCTACTGAGCCCCCTTCTAGGCACATGGGCCAACTCCCTGAAACTTCTGAGTCATTCCTCCCCGTCCACCGCTGCCCCGGCCCGAGGGATCTCGGGGGGCATTCTCTGGTCCCATGCCGCCTCAGGTAGGGGCTTCGTGGCTCTCCTTTCCCGAATAGAGCCCAGAAGGGGGATGAGAAGCAGGCCAGTGAGGACAGAGCCGGAGTTCTCGGGCAGTGTTGTAGGGCTGGCCGAGGCTTCTGCTGAGCAGAGCGCAGTCTCGTTCTGACACAGCCCAGATCTTTAAAAGCAGAACTGCCAGGATCGGCTCCCAGAGACGCCAGGCTAGCAGCATAGTGGCACTTTCTGTTTCGTCTCCCACCCATGTTCTAATTTGGGGGACAAAGGACTCTTTAGGGTTGCCTTTAGGAACTTCCTAAATCAAGTCTCCTACCACTTCTTTGGGGCCATGGATAATCAACTCTGTGATAACCTGGAAATTTGGGGGAATGTGTTGCCACAGAAACGCTGATTTGGGGACTTTCTGAGTTCCAAGAAGTTTTTGTGTTGTATGGTATAAATAGACATGACCAGGGGCTGTGAGCTGTCACCTCATTGGTGGAGAGGGGGGTCCCAAAGTAGGCAAAATGCCTTTTCCCCAGAGGCCAGGGCGAGATGATCAATAGCGCCTGAGAGGTCTGTACTCCTGTGTGATCCTTCCAGAGTAGAGGCTCAGAAGGGCAAGACTGAA